GTAGTTTTTATAGTTTTTCACGGAATTTAGTTTAAGACATTTTTTGCCATTAGTTATGTTTTACTTTTAAAATACACTTTTTTTACAAAATTTTTGTTATACAAAAGAATTGAAATGTGCAAGTGGCTCAGTTGTGAAAGCTTCTATCCCAACAAAATATATCCGTTTCTAATTTTTTTGTATCCACCTAAATTAATCAAATTCAAATTTTAATTGTTCGAAAAATTTGGTGGCAACTCTAGCACGAAAAAGTGTTTAAAATTTGAAGCTTGAAAATAAAAATTTTTTGCGAAAGCTTCTACTCCTTTTTTAAATTTTTTTGTATCCACTTAATTTAATCAAATTCAAATTTTAATTGTTAGAAAAATTTGGTGGCAACTCTAGTACGAAAAAGTGTTGAAAATTTGTAGCTTGAAAATAATAATTTTTATAGTTTTTCACTGCAATCACTTTGTAATTATTAAGACATTTTTACGGCCTTCATTGTTTTTTACTTTCAAAATTAACGTTTTTACCAAAAGTTTTGTTATACAAATAAATGGAAATGTTCAAGGGGCTCAGTAGCGAAAGCTTCTACTCCCAACAAAATATACCTTTTTTGCACGATTGAATATTCTATCATTCTTGCCTTTTTTGAGTGTTTTGCATCCACCTAATTTAATCAAATTCTATGAAGTATTACTGTGTACAATGTACATCTCCTTATTCGAATGAAACTTTTCCGTATTTATGCAAATTTCCCTCCTTATAATCCCCGCACTACCTCAGCTACCCTTTCCCTTTAGCGCATAATTTACGTGTCATTAAAAAAGCATATTCCGCCTGCGTGTAAACCCAATTTATCTCCTTTGCAAATAAATGACTATTTTAAATTATGCAAACGCACAAACTTCGCCATTACGTATACGCCATGGCAATCCATTGACAAACATGGCACACACATACTTCCATGCATACATTGCATATGAAGCAGCCTAGCTACATTCGCGCGTTAGACACCAAACAATCGACAGTCAATATTAAAATATTTGTGTGCGTCACTCGCTGCAATTAAACGATAATTAAATTGAAGTGCTTTGTTTTTATTTAGTTACATATTTTGTTGAGTTGCATATATCCGATGCATAAATCAGTAGCGGCAAAAGGGTTTGAGTAGCGTGGCTTATTTTTTTCGTGTGTGTACTGTGCACATTTTTTGTATCCAACGTAAAATTGAAATCACAAATTGAATTTTTACTTTGCTGTGCCTAAAAGCATATAATTATGTCTTCATCAATCACGTTAATCAATCAAAGCCAAATGTACATATCTTTTAGCATTTAATAGAGTGACAATTATTCGAAACACGTGCAAGTCAATAAGAGCAAATGACTAATCGTTTCCCTTTGGTTTTCCTTCTAAGCGAAACTATAGCTGTGCGTCTAAAAAACGCGTAACAAATGGCTTGACGCGAATATTCCATTTAAATGATTTGAAGGTTGGCATTGAGCTCAAATTTATTATCCATATCGGAATAGGAACGAGCTTTTGATATACTTAATTTTTAGAAAAATTAAACTTTTTGATACTCAAGGACTAAATGGCAATTACTAAATTTAGAACAAAAATAAATATAAAAACTTAGGAGTACCGTTAGTTTCTTCATGATTCAATAATCGGAACTAACCCAAATCAATAAAAAGGAGTTATCGAAAACGGTTCACGTCATCCAAAGTTATCCGGCAACATATGTATATAAACAAAAAAAAAATATATGTTACGACGAATTGTTAACCTCCCTTTTTCTAGACGGTTAAAAATCTGGAGTTGTCATATAATTTAATTACAATTAGGGAGGATAAAGGGAAGTCTGGAACGAACGCTTTAAAAGCTATTTATGCTAAAAATATTTTCCGAAAATATTTTTTGGTAAAAAACTATATACTTAGTTATTTGAAAAAAAAAGTTTAATAGTTATTTGAAAAACAAATTTCTACATTTTCCTTAAAAATAAGAACCAAACACTGTCTCAGCTAATATTTTTTATCAAGGTTGCCATATTATTTTTTTTTAAACAGACATTTCCAGCAATTGTATGTAAGAAAAAAAGCGCAAATTTAAGTCTTTCGTATCGTTTTATTTTCACTAAATATTTAAAATTAAATGGCATTTGTCGTCAAATAGGTGAAAATACATTGTAAAATCGGACTAAAAAAAGGGTGCATAGAATAATTTATAGCAATATAGGTCTTCAGTCGAGTAGACTACTCACAATGGGTGCGTGAGGTTGCCGTTCATTCGAAAAAAGTTCATAAATTTTAAGCATGCTGTATGTTTGACGATTTGCAACAATTTTAGGTAATGCCAGCAGAAAAAAAGCTTGATTATTATCAGGGAACGGATTTTATGGAAATTGCCTTTTTTCTGCTAAAGAGATAGAGTATATTCGATTAAGAATGTCCACGATTTAGCTTTCCCTGATTCCATATATACACAATTGATGTTGCCTTTTTTTGCCTTTTTTAAGATATTTGCCTTTTTTTGCCTTTTTTAAGACATTTGCCTTTTTTGCCTTTTCTACCTTTAAAAAAGTGATTATAGCATTTAAATTTTTTTTAAGATAAAAAAAATACACATTACCCATGCGGCTTATAGAAGCGCAGAGACCTCTTGCCAAATTGGTGTTGGTAAAATTCAAAGCGAGGAAAACGCCCTTATTTCTGATAATATGAACGTTTCAAACGTTCCATATTTAAATTGGGCTCCACTTGTATCAACTTACATTCAAGGCTTTTCTTCACGAAAATCGAATGAAAATGCTGCCAGAAAACTTCAAAATGCATCTTGTGGTTCAATGTTACTACAACTAAGTATACAGATTAAAGTTTTATGAGTTAGAAACTCGAATGGATAAAATAGTCAAAGATTCAAAATACAAATTTTTCATATAATGAAACTAGTTCATAGTTTTTCTCTTTTTACTTGTAATATAAACATTTCTAAAATAAATGTATTTTTTGATTTTTCTTCGTATTTTCTGTCTTTTTTTAGTGCCTTATTTTGCTTTTTTTGCAATACCAAGTGCCTTTTCCAGCCTTTTTCGCTATTTTGTTTTGCCTTTTTTTGCCTTTTTTGCAACATTTAGTGCCTTTTCCTGCCTTTTTCGCTATTTGATTTTGCCTTTTCCAGCCTATTTCGTTACTTTATTTCGCCTTTTTTATAGGTTTTTAGGTCCTAAAAATCCGTTCCCTGATTATTATCTATTGATATTTATTCAAAAAATCCTAAAGAGAATATAAATTTTATTGTATATTATGCTACCTTCGGTCATGACTGTATACCAACACAAGCATTTTCACTGTATGAAAACTATCTAAAATAAAACCGGGTTTTCCGGTTCTTTCTTAATTTCAAAATCGGGAACCAGTTTTTAAAAATTTAAATTTTTCGAATAACTCGAAAACGGATTTTGGGTAAAAGGCGAATGATCCAAAACCCTAGAGAATACTTGAAGTTTCGATCCACTGGGCCCCGCTTTCTGTGTTTTTTTTTTTTTTATCAAGGGCTTGGCCTTTCAATATTACATTTGGGTTTACCTAAAGTGTCTATAATTTTTTATATTCTTTATAAAAGGTTTGCATGTAAGAGTTTTTTGATAAGAAACTTAAATTTTTAGAAATGCTTTTTTTATAATTATATGCATACGTTTTTTTTTTGTGAGGCAAGTCAGATGGTCACAAAAAATCATTAAAATTTATTTACAAGAAGAGAAAGCTTTAGTAATTGGCGCTGGTGGCTATTCTTGGAAATTCACTTAATTATGGCCTTCTACTCGGAAGTACTCATTTTAAAGACTAAGTAGGCAATAAACGATACTTAACGGCCTTAGCTTCCGCATGCTAACGTTGCTAAGCTGGGCGTGCTCTAAGGCAGGCTAATCTCCGCCCGTTCTCTCATTTCAGCTATATTTTTTTTTCTTTATTTCTATTTTGAAATTTTCACCTTTTCTTTCCCCATTTTTTCTCTTTTTTTTTGATTTTGTTTCCTCTTGCCTTTCTAATATAAGTATGTATCACATATTATTAAAGTTTTAAGTCGTTTTTACTTACAGCACTTGAAGGTTCTGCAGCTCTTCAAAGACTTTCGCTTCAAATGCTTCAATGCGATTGCCACGTAGGTCTCTGTAAGTAAATAGAGCACCAAAAAATTTTAGCTCATAAGTTGAGATCGCGATTTCTTTTAAGTTTAAAAGAATTATTAAGTACTAAATACACATATTTGTAAGCCAGTAAGTCCAATTATGTTTGTATGTACGGATGGATGTGCGTTCCTTTGTATGAGCGTAGTAATGTACCTAAATAGTTGCTTCGGATATCAGTTCCTGAAAGCGATTGGAATTTTAAGCTCAGTTAATTCCTTATGAACAGCGATGTAGTTATACATATTTTTAAAGAAATTTCTATAATAACAGCCAATTACTTTTTTCTTTGATATTTCGTTCATAAAAGTTTTCATGATTATGTTTTAGAGTAATTTTTGTTTAACTTCAGTTATATTGGAATTTCAATGCAATTGCCGTGGTTACATTTAATAAAATTAACTTGACATTTACTTACAGTTCCGTTAAGCCATCCAAATGCTGAAAATCATATTTGTGAAGTTCTTTAATGCGGTTACCAGAGAGTATTCTGAAAATCAAACAAAATGTTTGTAAAAATACTTTGTTAAACAAATTTTTTTTTTTTGAATTTCCCATACATAAATTTATTTTTTATTGAAAAATAAGAGCAATTACTGTTTCAA